CAAAGAATAATGTTGAAGGAGCCGCCGAAAAGTAAAGATCTGCCACAGTCCTCAGAAGATGACTTGGGCTCAAGTGAAATATCTTTTTTTTTAAATTTACGTGATGATCTATTTTTGCCGGATAGTTATAGCCCCTGTCAGTAAATGGTTTGGTCTTTTAGGGTCGCCAAACGGTCCGAATCTATCACAATGCTCAGATGACTTCGTCTGGTGTGAAACATTGTGTTTTATCACATGACGGTATCGGCAACATTTATAGTATTACATTTTAAAACTCATTAATAAAGGACCTGTCTTTAAATATTTTTGTCTTTTAGTTTTTCTTAAAGAGATGTTAAAGAGCCGCCAAAAAGCCAAGATCTACCTCAGTACCCAGTAGTCATGGGCAGGTATCGATTCTAGGTATCGATACTTAGATACTTATAGGTATCGGTATCGGTACCGATACCTGCTCTAAACATCGATACCTATGTGTTATTTATCCCAGGGCTGCCAAAGCAAGTGACTTGGGCCTTGAGAATTTTTTGTTTATCAAAACTGATAAGTTTTCCTTGGGGTGAGGGGGGGGGGGAGCAAGTGTTTTAAGTGAATCTAGTGATTTTTTAACAAAAAGAGAGAAGTTTTTCATGAATTCTATTTAGTGATTTTGCCAAATCCTCACTGGCAACCCTGATTTATCCTCATTGGTTTAATTTAAAGTTGTTAAAAATCTGGTAAATTGAATTGCCTTTTTAGAACTTTTGTGTTTTTATTTTCCAATACTAACATTTTCTGCAAAGTTGACTTTCCTCCCATACTTCACTTAGTTTTTGTTTTTATTCTCATATTCGGGTGTATATTTCTATCTCTCTCCTTTACAAATAACGATTACCTAAAGACTTGGAAAAGTATAGTTGTATTTTTGTATTTACTTATTACCCCCGACGTATGTTACTAATAGCATTAGGTATCGAGGTATCGGTATCGATACCTTGAAAAAGTACTAGATATCGACATCGATACCTAAATTGTGGTATCGGCCCATCACTAGTACCCAGTCGACTTCGGGTCGTGTGAAACATTATTGTTATCACTTGGTGATATCGTCAATGTCTATAGCCTTAAATATTTTACCTTATTGTCAAAGGACCCGTCACTGAATGTTTTGGTCTTTGAGAATTTTTAAGAAATGTGAAAGAAACTGTCCAACAATCCAGACTACCACAGAACTCAGATTACTTTATCACAAGTGTATTATAATAATCATATTAGGATGATTATTGTTACCAATAACATAATATTATACAGAAATGTTAACTGTTTGTTAAAGGACCCAGATCATTTTTATTTTTAAATAGTTTCTTTTATAGTCAATGAACCTGTCGCATAGTCCTTATTTACTTCAGTACCCCGATGACTGACTCATAGATTAACACGTTCTGAAAAGCATAATACATGTACAAGCAAACATCTTCTCCTGTAAAGACAGTCTTTCCCATGTTTATGAAACACTAAAAGAGGAATAAACCTCTCACTGGGCAACATCAGAGTCGTTGCCAGACTTATCCACAGAGTAGGGGTCTACACTTTTAAAGACAAATCGAATGCTGCTCAAAGAAAAGTATGAGCACAAACCTAAAAAATAGCAGTGGCAAGCTGCGTTCGATCATTTCGTTCAGTATAATAAACACATAATGTCGGTGACCTAGTGGTTAGGCTACCGGACTCCTAATCGTGAGGTTGCAGGGTCGGGGTTTGAGCCGCGGGCCCGACGTTGTGTCACTGGGAAAGGAACTTTAAACGAATTTTCCTCACTTCACCCAGGTGGAAATGGGTACCCGGCCATAGACAGCGAAAGATCTTGTCAGTATGTTAGTATTTCAGCGCCTATAAATGGCTGCTTGCGCTGTATGCTTCCCGGGAAGTTGAATTTGTTTCAAAATGCTCTCAAGTCTGCTGGGGTAATAGTATAGATTGAGAAGCGCATAGAGCTTGCTGTTGAGCGGGGGTTTGCGCTATACAAATGCTATCTATTATTATATAAACTTTTGTAATGAAACAACAATTTTATGGATTCCAGTGGTGGAATTTTGGTTACTAAATGCTATACGATGCGTCTACAGAATAATTTAACCGCTTCATCAACATCCCATACTACCAAAAAAAATAAAAATAAATAAAGTAGCTCTAACAGAGTCAATCTTTTAAAAATACTCTCTTTCTAGTCACCACTGTCCAGTGCTCTACTTTTCAGTTTCCCGGTTATAGCCAGACATCCCAGTAATGAACCCCCCCCCCTCATTACGGTTTCATTACTTGTGAGCCTGGGCTAACCCACCATAGACACATTTGATTCTTTTTTTTCTGTTTGACTTCAGAAGTTTTGCTTTACTTCTTCCAACTTTAGAAAATTAAATTATTTGACTTTTTGTTGTTGTTGTTGCTGTTCTCTATTGGACCTCCTTCATGAGCCAGGTTTGAAGCAGACATTGGCAATTATTGTTCATCACTCAAGCCTCTGCTCAGATACTCCCAGAAAATCTTTTTTTACCCTCGTCTTTTTCTTTCACCGAGAGTTCAAGCTCTCTAAGTAAGTCATTCCTATTTTAATTATGCCTCTTTTGAATTCTATTCTAGACTTTATTTTAAAAAAAACCTTGTTTAAATTTTAAATATAAGAAACGCTCTTGGAATGAAGACTATGTCGGAGATTGACACAGGAATTTTCACGGCGATGTTAGGACCTATTGCCTGCAGATATTGAACGAGCTTAATTCGAGCCCATTTGCTTGTGTCATGCAGTGATCAACCTATCCCCATCTATAAAACGATAAGTAACGAGTATGGCCACATCGTGTTGAAATGGTTCTCTGTGGTATGATTTTCCATCCAATTGTGACATATCGTCACTGCGCTTGCGAAAAGGCATTACTCAGAGTTGTGCCAAAATGCAACCAACTTTATATTTTGTTTGGTAGTACTATATGTATCTGCTGATAAAATCAAAAGAAAAATGCGCTGGCAGTTACAAAAGACACATGTATGGCAAGTTTTACCATCAATAGAAGATAAACAGTCTTATCAAACAGTTTTTCCCTGTATCTCAAACGTAGCAAAAAATTAGATGTCTAATATGCCATTTTGCTAGCGCATGATTTCGTTGAGAGTAAAATGCAGGGAACTGTTAAAAACTGAACACGTTTTCTTCCACACAGCAGCTAAAAGGTAATGTGTAGAGCATACGGAGTTGATTTATTCCAACCCCCTCGCCCTCCCGAAAAAACTCATTGAAAACTAAACAACAACAAACAAATAAACAAATAAACAAACAAACCAAAACAGATGATAAAGAAATTGATTTTTACCCGTTTTGTGTAGGCGACAAAATGAGAGGGGAACACACTAGCAAAGGAACGACCATCTCATAGATAATGTCCCACATAGTGTATTCTGTATTTCTCACGAAACAAGGGATCTGTAAAACGCAAGGTGCTTTTGAAAAGTGAGGCTTTTAATGTAATTGAGTATAATATTTTTTTCCTTAGAGAAAATGTGCTCAAGGTTTTTATATTGCTTCAAGTGTCCCAGGAACTGCTTTTGTCTTTTCTTAATAGTATTTAGATAGTGGGTGTATAACATCATCATACCAATAAAACATTGCGTTCGACTATTCATGAATGTCCATCTTCGTGTTTATGATAACTGTCAGAGAAGCACACAGATAAAATAAAGGTCATTTAATTTTCACAAGGAAGTAGCCTTATTTCTTTTCTGTTCACATTTTGTTTTAACCCATTATATTGCAATGCTAGTAGAGAACTCTCGTTCTGCTCAAAGGATACAGTTGTTGTTGTTGTGGTTGGGTTGTCTTTTTTTGGGGGGGGGGGGTTGCTATCTTTTTTAAAAAATCACTATTTATTTGTTTACATCGAACACAATTTAGAAAGTTTATGAGGTGGACTTTCTGATTGCCAGGGCTAATCTGGACTGAAAGAGAGGCAACGTTGAAGCAGAAAGACTGAGATACTCGGTGGCTAGGCTATCGAACTCATAATCGAGAGGTAGCGAGTGCGGGGTATCGAGTCTCGGGCCCGACGTTGTGTCCTTGAGAAAGGCACTTTACACGAATTTCCCTCACTTTACTCAGGCCATAGACAGCGAAAGATCTTGTCAGTATGCTAGTGTTTTAGAGTCTGTAAAATGGCAGCTTGTACTGTATGCTTCCCCGGAAGCTGTGATTGTTTTAGAATGCCATCAGGTCTGCAGGGGGAAATAATACATGTGTACAGATTGTACAGCGCATAGAGTTAGCTGTTGAGCGGGCGTTTGCGCTTTACAAATACTATTTATGATCAAGATACTCGATAAAAATTCTCCGAACACGGGAGTTGAACTCAGGCCTCTTACATACGACACTGAAGTCCCTAACTGCTACTCTAAAGACGCCTACATGATCTGAATGATTGACTAACAAGTCACAAATCTTTTTACACCCTTATTAACACAATAAATGTTGCCAGTCAGAGCCAGTCGATGTTGTGTGTGATACGTCATACCAGCAGGAAGGTCTCCAGGTACTCGATAAGATGATATTGTCCTCGAGATGGAACCCAGTTCACGTTTGTCGGGTGCCAAGCGTAGCGCCATAACGTTTCATGAAGGCAGAGAAGGATACGGATTATTTTGTCTCTGGGCATTTATTTAAATTCGTGTATATGTGTACAGAACTTGAGCTGTAGGGTCATAGATTAGGGTCAGAATAATGTAACTTAACCAACAAAACAACACAAAGAGCGATAAAGTAAATTAAAATGTTTTAATTAAGCAACCAAAAAAGAAGACGAAATAGATATTGACAAAGCAAAAATAGGCAAAGGTTTAAGAAGTACTTCAAAAAATCAATTCTATAGCGAAGTAGAACATAAAAAAATAGAAAAGAAACACGTTTGGGGGGCCGGATTGTATGTATAGTTTTTAAAAAAAAGAAGGAAAATAGGGGAGAGGGGGGGGGGGAGCAGGTACCGGGATGAAGTTGATAGTTATGACAAAAACTTTTCCAACATGAACTCAAGAACAGACGATAAATAAAGCACTACAATTTCTGATTTCAATATTAATTAAATAAAAATGATTTCGAATCATAGGCGAACCCTGTTCTCATGTAGCATGAATATTATTATGATTAATAAACGGAAGCAAAGGTGAAGTGAAGTATCAAAATTATTTTACAATCATTTTGGTCAATATTGTGCAGGCGTAAGGCGAAATCTTTTTTTAAATAATCGTAGGCACTAGGAAACAGATGATGCTAGAGCGGTGTCAACCGATTAGCTAAAAGTTTTTCGGTCGACACAAATACACGGTGATCTGGGGAAGAAACAAGCAGGTTTTTAAAAAACGTTTGAGTAAAAAGAAGGACATCGACGCAATGGCAGCCATATAGTGCAGGCAAGAAGCATGATAGACGGACACAAACAATTGTCAGAAAGAAAAGAAGCAGGATCTCCAGTTTTTGTTACTAATGTTGCAGTTGTTGTTACTAATGTTGCAGTTGTTGTTGTTGTTGTTGTTGTTGTTGTTGTTGTTGTTGTTGTTGTTGTTGTTGTTGTTGTTGTTGTTGATGGTGACAATGTTGTTATTGCTGCTGCTAATGTTATTGTTTTTGTTGCTGTTGCTATTATTATTGTTGTTGTTGTTGTTATTATTATTGTTGTTGTTACTATTGTTGCTGTTTATAATTTGTTGTTAATGCCACAGCACAGATTATGGCGTTGGTTCTGGTGACAAATGTTGAAAATTGGGATAGTTGGGATCAAAAGAGAAGAATAATGACGACGACGACGACGACGACGACGACGAGCAGGAGGAGAAAAAGGAGGAAGTTGAAGAGGAGAAGAAGAAGAAGGAGGAGGAATAGGAAGATGATGAGGAGAAAAACGTTCTCTTAGGCAAATTCATTATTCAGCTTGTGTGACTTGCGCAGAAATTCTTTAATAATAATGATATTTTTCATTTATATAGCGTTCTGTTCCATACAAGTATAAGCTCTGAGCGCTTCATTGGCTATTATGAATAGATACACAGACAGATAGATAGATAGATAGATAGATCGATCGATCGATCGATTGATCAATAGATCGATAGATCGATAGACAGATAGATATTTTTAAAAATCGAAAGTCTGTAGACCGAGAGAATAATATCTTAAAGGGGGAAAAGAATGAGTTGCAAAGTGAAAGGAATGCACAGTGAGGCTGACACATTTCTGCCAACTTACATCGTCCATGTATCCAGTGAAATGGCTGAACTCTGTCCCTCTTCCTATCTGGAGCGCACACTTGCTAGGCAAAATAGAGCCTGAAACACACAGATGCATGTTATGTTTTCGGTCTTAACCTATGAAACTTTTGTTGTTGGTGTTGTTTTCAGATACCTTATTAAAATATATTAATACGTTTGTTATTGGTGATGCTTTTGGGGCTGTGCATTGACGACAACAACAAAAACAACAACAAAAACATAGCAGCATTAAAACATCACAACAATAACAAAGCCAACAGCAACAAAAACTATTTCAACAAGAATGACAAAAAAAAACACCGATAGAAACAAAACAAAAAACAGAAAATCAATAACAGGGCAAAATAGCAACAGAATAACAACAATAACTAGTGTATTCCCAACAAACAGTCCCAAAAGGAGCAATGACGAAGTTAACAACAGCAACGACCATAGCAACAACAGCAAACGGTTTTTTTGGTCATATTCAAAGAATATCTGAGGGAGGATGGTGGGTGCTCTGGTGTGGCTTGCTCCTTCTTTCGTATCAAACGTCTATCGTCCCTATCCCGCTTCATGTTAGAGTTAGTAATTCTTTCGTAACACCTCTAATCTGCGGCACGTAAAATACTTAATAGTGTTGCAAGTGCCGTAAAACTCTCACTAAAACAACAACAAATAAAGACATTTGAATATAGCACGTTTGGGAAAAGTCAACAAAGGGGACACAAACCATTGAAAAGAGTCTTGTGGGAGATTCCGTTTACCGCCCCTTGAAGCGTTTGCTTGTCAACAATGAGAACTGCCTCTTTCCACCCAGTGCCCTGTCGTCGAAGAAATGAAGGATGATAAAAAGAAAAAAAATCATCATCATCATCATCATCATCATCATCATCATCATCATCATCATCATCATCATCATCATCATCATCATCATCATTGTTGTTGTTTCTGTTGATAAAACGATTGGAGACTCGTATTTCAATACTAACGTTTAGACACATTAGTGAAAAATAAACCAAAAAACAACAACAAGAAACAACATTGGTTAACGTTTCACCCGCTCAGGCTTCATCAGTAACATTGATTTTTAAAAAGTCAACAACGCCGCAGTTACAAGGAATTCACTTGACATGTTTAGCAATTTACATACAAAAGTAAGAATCCATTTAATTTGCTTGTCTCTCCTCCCCTTTTATTCAACATCTGTACACTTTCAATATCATGAATACAAAACATGTGTGCATTCCGTAAGTTTAACGCCCCTTTCAACCCCAAGGATAATACGCATTGTAGCAGTTCCAGATAGAATCAGGTCGCCGTTCTTTCTGGGCTTTTGGAATTATTGATACATTCTTAAAGCCTGTTCATTTGCTTTGCTTTGTTTTTGATGAAAAAAAAATCCAGCTATCTTAAATAGAAGTTGGGCTATTAGCTGTTAAAGGAGGTCGGGTCGCCTGACGTCAGGAGTACAATTAGAGAGAAAATGATGACCAAAGTTTGGCGATTTCCAAAGCTTGAGTGTCCTTGGAAACTGCGAAGTTACTATTGTTGTGCCTTTTATCAACGTTTTCGGTAGAAACCTCACAGAAACGTATTTTTGAATGGATATACAGGTGTTG